ACCTACATAAGCAGCAACTTTTTCAAAAAGACATTTTTTAACGCAGGATTTTCCCTTATTGAAACCATGTTGACTATCCAATAAAATTCTAAACTTTATTAAATGACTTTACAAAGCATCTTTTAACAGACTTTCCAAAACTTTTCCAACAATTGATGTAAGACTAATGGGTCTATAATTACTGGGACAATTTTTATCACCTCCCTTGAAAAGAGGAGTAACATTAGCTGATTTCCAATCCTCTGGTACCTGCCCACTATTCAAGGACTGACAAAAAATAGTAGTAAGTGGCTCACATATCCAATCTTTAACCTCTTTCAAAACCCTTGGAGAAATATTATCTGGCCCAGGAGCTTATCGTTTTTTGAACTTCCCAATTTTTACTTAACCAGCTCAGAATTAATGCAGTCTTGTTTGACCTTGTTTCCATTTATCAACTGTTCAATATATGGAATTCTGCTTAAAGCTTCATTTGTAAAAACTGAAGAAAAAGCAAAATTTAATAACCCAGCCATCTCATAATCATCAGATACTAGCCTTCCTTTATCATACCTCAAGGGTTCTATCCCCATCCTAACATTTAGTTTACTCTTAATGTATGTAAAGAAATCCTTTCTGTTAATTTTTACATTTTCAACCAATCATTTCTCATACATCCTTTTTCATGTCCTAATTTCGTGTTTCATCAACTTTCTTGATATTCTATAATCTTCTAAATCTCCTGTCATACCAGTCAATTTAAATTTCTTAAATGTATTATGCTTTTCTTTAATTTTATCTCTTAAACTCTTTGTGAGCCAACCTGTTTTTTTAATTGCAGCTACCCTTTTCTTTTTATAAGGAATATGTTTACCTTGAATATTTAAATATTTTCCACATCTGATTAGTTTCTCCAAATAACTCAGCTGCTCAATTCACAACAGATAATTCTTGTTACATCCTATCAAAATTTACTTTTTTGAAATTTGTAAACAAAATATTATTATTCCTTATCTCCATATGCAGCAAAACATCGAACCTAATAGAGCATATAAATATCTTTCCCTAGTAAGTCATACTTCACTAACAAAAATCTTTCCTTAATAAATAATCTGAAACAAATATCTTTCCCTAATAAATCACATAACATAACCAGTATTTTCCTTTACTAAATCATATCTCACAAACAAACATCCTTCCTTGATAAATCATATCTTACAATCGAGTGTCTTCAATGAGATCTTATGGGCATCTCACTAAACCCCATAGTATACCCTAACTTCACATTTCATAGGTAACTGAAATAAATATTGTGAAATCAAACTTGACTAAAAAAGAGGCAGAAAAGTGCAGTCAAACGCTGGTAAATTCCTTTGTGAGTTAGTCAAAATTAAGATCATTCAAGATATGTATTTGTGGTGTATTCATAGAATGATTATTGGTAAAAATCAGTTAGATTAACAACTTCTAATATATAGAAAAGCCAGTGCATTTTGATAACACTTAGCAACAAAAGTATAACCTAATATTGTTGTTAGTCTATGTACTAAAAATATAAAATAAATTTATAGACAACAAAACTGGAAAAATATCTGTTGATTTCGTAATTTAAAGTCTCCTTTGTTTAAAGAGGTTTGTATTTTATTAAAAATGGTGGTGGTATGACAGAAAATAGTTTAATTTAGAAACGATTTAAGTTTAAAATTGAATCAATATTTTTACTTTCATGAGAAACTTTATGCATTTGGCTCTAGGCTAGGTGATTCCACACTACGTCTTTGCTTTAGGGTTATTATACCAACACTCACTACACATATGATTTTACAGCACCCTTGCACCCCTGTTACTAAAATCATAATGGGCAGACATTAAATGAACTATTCTATCTGGATAAATGCATTTTGGTTTTTATGACTCCTTCAATTTTGAGAAACGAAGAGTGACGTGATGTGGTACACACTGGCTTTTATATACGTTAGATATATATTCAATCTTCCACACAGTAATAGCAAAATTTTATTTCCTCTCTCTTTAATGATGGAAAAGATGAAATAAAACTAAAAGTCAATAAACAACAGAATTCTATCCGTAATTGTAATATTTATTTACTTAAACAAATTGTAATAAGATCAAATCTATACAACTACATTCATCATCTTTTAAGTCTTAATATTACAATTCAAAATTGCTTTTAAGACCAAATATAACACAAGTATATTCCTTCAATTTCAAGTAGTTTTAATCTTTATCTTGTATCAAAATATCAATATCCGAAACTAGAATTTACTTAAAATATCTTAAATAATACACCTAACACATTCACTGCTGAGGACACACATGCATTTAGCATTTGTTTGCATATACTCATGCCGCACATGTGTTGTAAGTAAAAAAGTAGTAAAAATTACATTTTAGATTTGATATTGCTTAAATTGAAAATACAATGATATTGCACAAAAACTCTTATCTATACTTGCCATAAATAGTGCCAAGCACTGCAGCAGATAAAGTGTTAAAACTATAGAAGTCATAATTCAGAGAATGATAATAATCTTGCATATTCTTCCACATTGATACTTAAAATTTAACCATAACCATTCACAAAAAAATAATGAAAAACTTTTAGCTATTTGACTATTAAGCTTGAAAGTAACTTATGATATACTAACGTGCGAGTTGGATCATCCATAGTACTGCTACTTTTGCCTTTGTTCTCCATGGTAATTTTATCATTGATTCCAAACTTGCACTCAGGCATGCCAGACAAGTAAGACTTCATGACAACTTTTCCAGCTACATGTGCACTCAGCACTTGACCTAAAGGTATTGAACAACAGAGGAATGGGGTTTCATATTCTTAATATTTTTAAAGTTGTTCAAGACAAACATTCTTAATTTTAACAACAAAATTAAAAAGACAAAACTGATAGTTTTATATGATTTAGTCTGATGCTAAACGAATTTCAAAATGCAAAATTTCAACCATCATACAAATGATTAAGAGAATGTTTGTATTAAGAAAGCAAACTAAGTTGAAGTTAATGGTATACTCCAGTGGATAC